AAATTTGTCCTTATTGGGATGTAAGGACAGAGAAAGGATGCTTTAATCTCGGGAAATAATACATTTAATCTCATTTGAATGCGCTATTTCAGGCAAGGCTTTATTTCCACCACCTCCACCCCCTTTTTTTTTAACATATGTGTATATATTGCAATAATATGCATGAACTGCTCAGCCCAGCCGCAGCTTCCAGGTCTCGCCCGATTGTATTAATTCAGCAAAGAGCTGGAAGCAAGAGCTTTATGTATTTATTTTATTTCTTTTCTTTTTTTTTTTCCTCGAGAGAACGAGCCGCAGAGCAGAGAGCGCACGCAAACTTTGGGAAGAAGGATCGGCTTTGGCTTTTATTTATCCCCAGCACATTAAAACCAAGCCTGGGAAAGCTTTCCTTGGACTCCTCCGCTAGAATCTGAGCCTCGGTGTCATAGTTTCTTCACTAAATTGGTACTCCAGGGGGAAAATTAGACTTTCTCATACTACAGGCTCTAATTTCCCTGAGGGTTCCCCAGCGAAAATTCCGCTCCTTTAATTTTTCCCCCTAAAAATGCACAGTGGGAAAGTAACTTCCCTTCCCAAATCTAGGTAAGGATTTTCCGGGAGTATTTTTTGATGTTGTTTGATTGATTGATTGTTTGTCTGTTTTTTAAGAAGAAAGGAGTTGTTTTCCCTTCACTATAAGGCGCATTTGGGCCATTTCTCTTTGTGCTCAGCTTTTGATGTGGAGGGGAGAGCAGCTCGCTATGGAGTTTTCCTTAAGACTGGTGTACCTGGGAGGGTTCCTAAATCTTCCAGACAGCAATGAGAGGAAAAAGAGGGGAAAAAAATGAAAAGGAGGGGAAAAATGCGGCACAGAGAGGCACTGGATTTTTTTCTTCCTGCCCCAAACTGAAATAAAAAAACATCTTTTTTCTTTGCTGCCATGCAGACATTCTTTTTTTCGGGACATGGGGACAAAGAAAAAGAATGACAGAGATATTCTATAATAAAATTCTAAAATTCCCGCAGTTGATTAATTTCATTTTAGCTGTGATTCCCCTGGCCTGGAGGAGCGGTGCTTGGCTTTGAATTCTAAGGGATGCTCACGTAGCGGCTTTCACGGAGCAGTTATCTTCGTGCGTTTGGGGCAGAAATCATTCTTTTGGACAGTTTGGCTCGAAAACAAACTTGACTTCTCTTTGCCTTTTTGCGAAAATCTTAAGCCCTCCATTTGCAGACAGAAGTTCACCTGCAAGACGTTATTCAGCCTCAAATCTCCGGGTATTATTTTCATTTTAAGGGAAGTGCGACTACAAAGAAAAACGCTCATTTTTAAGGGTAATGCGATTCCAGGGTGGAAAACAGCCTTAAAAAAATCTAAAACTTGGATATTAAAAAACTTGCACTTGTTTGCAAAGCAGAGCTGGACTCGAGAGGATATAATTGATTTTCCCATAGACTCTGGGATGAATCTGCTCCTCTCTTCCTTTCTAGCACTGGGATAAAATTAAAGAAATAAACATCCCTTTTCTCCCAGGATCTCTCGTTAGCCTCGTACCTCCCCTCCACACCCAAAAAGGGAAGGAAAATCAGACAAACCCAGATTTGCCTTCATAAAGCGAAAATTCAGCTTCTTTCCCGCTCGGCGATGAAGAGGGAACCGCTCCCTTTGGAAATATCCATATAAAATATTCTCCGGATGCTGTGTGATCTCAGAGCAGGCTACTCACCTACAGCAGCAGCGAAGAGGAGGAATATATAAGTCAATTTTATCCTATATAGCTCAATTTTAACTCTCCTTTCCATCGTTTAAAGGAAAAAAGAAATATGATGAGTTATTGCAATCATTGCATCTAATCAATACTCACTTCATTCCAGACTTTCTCTGTGAATGCACATGCACAGCCAAGACTATTATATTTTAAGAGGGAAAATGCTTGCGGGAAATACACACACACACACATGTATATAAAATCTCCTGTCTCAATCTAATGAACTCAATGAGTGTCACAGCTGTTACTATTTCTAATTGCTCCTTCTACTCTCTTTTTTTTTTTTTTTAATGGGTACTGCTCTCCTAAGCGCTTCCACATTTTGGTGACGTCCTTGAGCTGATTTGGGTGAATTAACTCGCTCACGAACCTCTCAGTGCCTCTCTATCGGAGGAAAAAATAATAAGAATAATAAAAATCAGTTTAAATGAGGTGGTCCCGGGCGACTTGGAGAATAAAAGGAGTTTTGGGGCTGCGGGAGAGGATCGATGGGACCTGGTTTGTCCTATCGAGGTGACATTGGGGACACCCCTGCCCCCCTTCCCAGTCAGGGACCCCTCTCCTCGCAGATTAAACATGATTTTCTTCTTTGTTGCCTAGAAAGAAAGCTTTTTCTTCTTTTTGTTTTGCCTTGCCTTCCTTGCTCTCTGCAACATACAATGTAAAACCTTAATTAAATCTATATTTCACCGGGATAAGAATTGTAAATGTCCTTACACAAACCTGGAAAGAAGAGCGCTATTATTTTTATTTATTGCTTTCTCTCCTTTATCGAAGAGAGGGGGATACCTGACGCCCTTAATGCTCAAAAAAACAGTGGTTTTTTTTTTTTTTTCGTGTTTAACGCCGGTTTTGCCCAGCAGTCGCGTTGTTCAGCGCCCTCGGTTACAGCGGGCGTATCCCGCCTCTGCTTTGCTTATCATAAATCTTTACATTTTCTCTTTGAATCCTCCCTCTACGTTTCACAGAGAGGACACATGCTAGCAAATGTTAACCGCTTCATAAAATTAGAAGCAAGGCTCATCTAAAAAAAAATAAAAATATATCTCCAATACTCGCAGCTAGGGTGCTTCATTAGGGGTTTCTCCCCGCTGCATCCCCATCCTTCCTTTGGTCTTTTAATTTCCTTATCATTTCTTGCTCCTTTCTTTTTTTCTCTCTCTTCTCTCTCTTTTTTTTTTTTTTTAACCATTTCTGAATGATGCATTTCTGGGGCAAAATTATTGTCCTGGACTATTTCTGGCTCGGGATACTGGGGATGGCGAGCCCCGTAGCTGCTCTCATGGATAAAGATACTCGTATTTCTTCCCTTTTCGAGTTTTAAGCCCGGGTGGGAGGCGAGGAGAAGCGGTCGGTGCCTGCACGAGTCCCGGGGCCACTCCGTGAACTTCCTTCCCGGCTGCCCGGGCACTAAACCGGGACCCGTTTGAGCTCTTTTGCCTTGAACTTGGACTTCGACGGTTGGGTTGATTGCGATTTATTTATTTATTTTTCCATTTTATTTTTTGGGGGCGGATTGCTTCCAATTTTGCCTTTCCTCGACGCCTCCTAACACAGACAGTTTAACTCTCCTCCACGTTTTTTGGGGGGTGGTTTTTTTTTCCTCTTTGGAATTTTTCGGCCTCCTGGATTTGGGTGTTTTTTTAAGGAAGGGTGTTTAGGGGACAAACAGAAGGTGAACGGGTAAGAGAAGGGTCCTGGATGAGGCAATTCCCCCGGCTAAAAGGCAGGACATGGAGCAGGGGGCGCCGTCCTGCGTGGGCCGCAAATCCCCACGGGGGACTCTGCTATCCGAGGTGGGGAAAGGGTGTGTGTGTGTAGCGGGGAGTCCCTATCCCCCTGCGGGGTCCAAAGTGGGGAAAAATGGAAGAAATTCAGCCCCGATGGGGCTGGCTGCGAACCCCCCCTGCGATCAGCTGAGGGCGGCTGTCCCTTCCACACCTCACCAGCACTTCCCACGCTCTAAGAACACGAGAATACCCAAATATATACATATACATTTTCCTTAATTTATCTATTTTTTCCCCTTCTTTGTCGCTGAAAGTTTTGGAGCGTCCCCACCACCACCATTTCTCCTTGGGGCGTTTTCCCGACGGCTGCGAGTTCCCATTGCTGCTTTCCCTCCCGAGAGCAACTCGTGCAAATGCCCTCACAAAAAAGAAAAGAAAAAAAAAAACAACTCTAACCAGGAGCCTGTGCTTTCCTTAAGCATATATATTTATACTATCGTAGTTTTTAAAAAACGCTGTGTCGAGGGTGTTTGAACCAGCCCGGCCCGTCGTCCCACTTTGTTTCACGCTATAACGCCCTCTCCCACGCCCCGTGCGTGAGACCCGGGCAACCAACCCCTTTGTGGGGGGCTTCAAGCAGGAAAAAGGATAAAGGAGTGGGAATGGGAATGGGAATGGGAATGGGTTGGGGTGGGATTTTTTCCGACGTGCGGTGGGGGGGGCGGGAGGCACA